TTTTTTTTTTTTTTTTTTTTTTTTTTTTGAGACAGGGTCTCACTATGTAGTTGAGACTGACCTGGAACTCACTGTGTAGCCCAGGCTGGTCTCGAACTCACAGTGATCCTCCTGCCTCAGCTAACCGAGTGCTTCCTTTAGATATTAATAATATGGGATATTAACAAGATACGGGATATGTTTAGCCCCACATTTGTGTAAGAATCTAATCACAAATAAGCTATTTATTAGACACTGCATACTTTTGAGAGAAACTGGAGAAGTAAATGTCTAGAAAAAAGTATTTGGAGGATCAGGGAAATGTCACAAATCAAACATCAAAAGCACTGGGTCAATGGTACATACCTATGGTACTTGAAATGCTCCTGTTGCTGACACAAATATTATAATAAGCATTTGCCTCAAAGAACTTATAGAGAAATGTAATTAAAAATATATTCATAAGATCTTTGAAAGAATATCATTTTTTGTATTCACATATAGGATTCATGTGGACAGGAAATGTAACCATTTGTTTCACCCCTGTATTAAAACAGTATCAAGTACTTACACTGTTCACTGAATAAATTAAAGTATTTAAAATGCCCAGGCTTCATTTTATGTAAATGTAAAACAGGAAATAAACAAAGTGTAACTTTAAACATTGATGTAAGAATTAAAAACAATAAGAGGATTAAATTACTACAGGGCTTGGCTTATAAGTACTAAAAATTGTTAAATCGCTTAAGATCTCATAATGATTGCTTTATAAGACATTCGGCCAATGTGTATTTAATGAATACTCTGTAACAGCAAAACTCCAAATCTTGAAAAGAGAAATATTTTAAGACATTCAAAAACATGTTATTATGATCCTGTGGCATTATATAAACAGCATGAAGTTATAATTTCAGAGAACTAGTTTAAATTTTTCTTCTCTGAAATACCAGGTATTTGATCTACAGTAAATCAGTTATTCTGCTTTAAATTTAGTGTCCTCTAAAAGTTTTTTTTTAAGAAGTGGTAGAAATACTTATTAATAATGATGATAGTAAGGATAAAATGACAATATTTATAAGGCTCTTTATTCAAAGGAACATACCTAAAATATTAATTTTATATCCTGTTGAGAAAAAGATGAATCTTCAATTAAAATAGACTCATAGCATTCAACACATCTCATGTTTGTATTTTAAAGGGTGCAGTTTACATTTGGAAGATACTCCAAATTCAATGTCTACACTTTCCTTGAATAATTTTAATTTACAAAATCTTAATCTACAAAAGAAGGCTAGTTGTTAATCTACAAAATTAATCTACAAAAGAGGACTTGTTCTCAAATCCTGTGATCATAAACTGAAACTTGCTTAATAGTGTGAATCTAAAATAGGTCAAAAAACATTTTTGTATGTATAATCTATTTTATCAACCTAGAAGTGCGTAAGCAAACTATCACCCTTTTAAATTTTACCATCCAAGGAAGTAGAGCCTTCATATCCCAATTAATTTTAATAAAAAAGGTGAACCCTTTAAAGAAAGACTGTATAAAACTTGCAGTGCAAATGATGACCTTTCCCAACTCACTCAAAAATAGCTCTCAGGAAGAGTCCATGTATTATTTGGAAGTATATGTCAGTGTAACTTCATCTAAACCAAATGGCATTTTCAAAAACTTTTATATCTTTATTTAATGGTTTCTCCCAGCGCTGTAAGTATTAATAGATTATCAAATTGAAAGATGTTTGTTCTGACCTTCACATAGCTCCATTTCTCTGGTAGTTTAATGTCTCTTACCAAGTACGAGGAGTGCTTTAAGTAATTTCTCATTCCTCCGTGATTGCAAGTTGCCGTTATCACAAAATGGATGGTAAAGCCATTGATGGGTAAAAATCCAAATGAAAGCACACAAAATGTTTTCATTTCCTTTTGACATTGTTATTTATAATCCTCCAACAGAAAAACATCTAGATATTTCAAATCCACAGTTTAGTTTTCTGAAAAAAGTCTTTTCAGGGGATATTATATGTGCAGGTTTTTAGAAAAATAAACAATACAAAATTTTAAAGGGGCAAGACGGAAATTTGACACACATCCAAAATTATCTGAGATCTTTGAAATATACACTAAAACTTTGTATTTACTGAGAAACCGATAGCTCACAACTTCCAAAACACTAGGAAAAACATAGAGGATGTGGTCTGAGAAGATGAGGAAAATAGAAAAGGAATGCTTTTTTTTTTTTTTTTTTTTTTTTTGTACTGGGGACTGAACCAAGGACCAGGCGGCAGCAACACTGAACTAAATCCCTGGCCCAGGACTGCATATGTTAAGAGAATAAATTGGTTCTTCCACCCCAGTAGAATTTTTATGTAAAATGCAACAAAGTTAGATTTTAACTCAACCTTCAGAATCATGAACTTAGTTAAACTCAAAACTAAAGCTGTGTGAAGAAAGCCTACACGAAAAACTAAAATCATGCTAAATACATTTTCAAGACATATTGTAGTGAAGTATGAAAATGAATATAAGAAGATAGAAAATTAAGGAAATGGAAAGCTCAGAGCAGTATTAACTTTAGCAAAATAAGAAAATATAAGAAAAAAGTTCTTAAGAATATAACTAGAATCACCGGGGTGCAAATGTTTGCCTAGTGAGAATGATTACTTCTTAGTACAGAACAGTTATATAACACACTTCTCAGAATTCAATTTCGTACCTATAACTCATTAGCTGTGTGACTTTGGACATATTATTCCTGCCTATCCCCCTTATCTGTACAATAATAGTGCTGTACTTCTATTATAACTGAAGCACATGTTTTAAAAAAAGGCTTTTGTTTTTAGGTTGTTTTTATTGGTAATTTTGGATTGACTAAAATTCTGAAATAAATCATAACTACATAACACACCAGGGATCGAACTCTCGGGTCCTTGCGCTTGCGAGGCAGGCCACCAAACCGCTGAGCTAAATCCCCGGACCTTCATAACACACTTTTATATTGAGATTAATTTTCCCAAGGATTTATATCCTTTTCTCGCTTTCTGTTATAGTGAATTTTCATACAGATTTCTTTATTGTTTTTATTGATTACCCAATATGTATACATGTGTATATTTTTTTTAAAGGAGAGAAAAGCGTATCCTTGAATCATCTTTCTCCAGAGGATAATTCTTCATGCTTCTGACTGAAGATAAAAGACTTTAGTAATCTTGGTGATTTTAATTGCTACAATTGAGATATTTTAAATCTTGGCTTCAGGTCCTATTAAATAACTATTTCCTGTGCTTTTATCCTTGAGGCTATTATTGAGAGTGCCAAACTGAAAATATTCAATGCTTATTAAAGATCAACTTGGCCAAGATTTGAGGCACACTCAAAGCTCATCTCCAGTGCCCAGCCCTTAACTTATTGTTTAGTGTTTGCTGCGATAAGCTACCTGAAGTATAGCAATGATTTCTATAGAATTCCTTCTGTCAAGGCATTTTGTTTACAAAATTTACCCTATTTTTCAAGTTAGTCTCAAAGAGTTTATTCTTCTGTATTTCATAGTACACAATGGCTGGAAGTCAATATTTGAAGTTGACTTTAATAAAAAAGAAGATATCTAAGACAACGAGAAGATAAAAAATATTATTTTTCTTTTATTAATATTGTTTTGGTTTTCCAGGGCTGTTGTAAATACCTAAAACAAATGCCATCTCTTAACACAACAAAAAATAGAAAACAATGATAAGACAGGCTTCAGATTTGCAGAAAATATTTGAAAAAACATATCTAATAAAATTTGTATACAAACAATATAAAGGACTCATCTATTAATCATAAAAAGAGCCAATCTGTGTGAAAATATGCATAAGACTAGCACAGTAACCTCACCAAAGAAGATATGTAAATGGAAAGTTAGAATATGACATGTTCAACAGCACATTATTAGACATTTCAAAATTAAAATAATAATGATATCAATACACACCTTTAGAATGACCAAACTTCTAAATACTGACCCCACCAAACAGGAATGAGCATGTGGGGGGAAAAAACAAAGCAAAACAAAAAAACTCAACATTTGGTGGTAGGACATGAAAATAGTACAGTCTCATTGGAAAATAGTTTTGCATTTGCTTACAAATTAAACAAACACCTTGTACAGAATACAGTAATGGTGCTCCCAGGTACTGACTCAAAAGAGATGAAGGACAAAAGCACTGTGGGTACAACATTATTCATAATTTTAAAAGTTGAAAGCAATGAAGATATCTTCCCTGAGGTGAAAGAATCAACAGTGCTACACCCAGACGGTGAAATGTCATTCACTGTTACTAAGAAATGGACTATCAAGTCATAAAAAGACATGGAAGAGTATTGAATTATTATTAATTGGATAGTGTACATAATGCATGATTCCTACTCTCTGACACTCTGAAAATGGTGAAACTATGAAGACCCAAAAAGATTAACAGACAACAGGGGTTAGAGGCAAAAGGGGGATGAATCCATGAATCACAAAATATTTTAAGGATAGTGAAAAAGCTCTGTAAAATGCCATACAGATGGATACATGCAATTAGACCTTTGCCCAAAGTCTGAGAATGTATAACACTGAGTGTGAACTCTAAAGTCAGCTTCAGGCTCTGGGTGATGATGATGTGTCAGTGTAGGCTTCCTCATCTGAAATGAATGTGTTGCTAGTGCAACATTTCAATAGTGGAGGGGGTATGGCTCCGTAGAGACTGCTGGAAAAATCTCTGCACGTTTCTCTTACTACTGCTGTGAATTTATATCTTCTCTATGAAAAAGGGCTGTTTTGCAAGGAGAAAAAAAGAAAAATTGCAGTTTCTTATAAAGCCTCTGAAGGATCTAAGGGAAGTTCTTTCATTGTTTCTCCCAAGCACTATTGGTTTCAGATATTTCTTGACTGGTGGCATCACTCCACTTTCTGCTTGTATCTTCACAGGGCTATCTTTTCTTTCTCTGTACCTTTTCCTGCATTGTCTAAATCTTAGAGTTTAGGGAACTTATCTCAAGGTCCTTCATTTTATGGGCAAATGCCTTTTATCTAAATAAAGTCATACTCTACTCGTAGCTTCTGAGGACTACAACATATTAAAATATAAAATATATTTATACTAAAATATAAAATATAACATATTAAAAATATGTTGGAATTTATTTTGAAATGATCTTAGCATGTAAAAATATGTTCAGGATCACAGTATATCAGCATTTCAAATCAAGATATGGAGCTTAAATTATTATTAAAAGATTTTCATTACAAGAATTGAATATAAATTTTATTTTTAGTGAACATGAGAAATTAAATAATGGTAATTCTCTTTCTTCTTTTTCTTGTATCAACCAGTATTTAATTTTCTGTAGTTGGGTCTGGGCATGGTGGTATACACCTGTAATCCTAGAGTTTTGGGAAGCTGAGGCAGGAGTATAATATGTCAAGGCAAATTGAAAAAGGGCTGGGGATATAGCTCAGCATAAAGGTTCTGAATTTATTTGCCAATATCACCAAAATGAATTATTTCCATGGAAAATTTTCTTATAAACATACGTCTAAAACTTAGCTGAAAATATCGAGGACACATGCATATTTATAATTTATTTGTCACTTAATTTGTATAGTTTAACTTTTGTTTACATTTATTTTAGGGTTGTTTCTTTTTTGTCTTTAAGATTCAAAAGGAAAACAGGATTGCCCATAGCAGATAAATATATTGAATAATTGTCCAATCTATTTTGTTTCTGAAAGGGAATCTCTTAAGAAAAGTCAGCAACCTGCTGATTCACTCCAGGCTTGCTGTTTACCAGTGTTTGACATATGTTAAAAATGAATACTTAATAGGTAATAATTATGCTCTAGCTGTGTCTCCAATTGGGTGAATTGATCACAGGAAGTCATTCCAACTGATAACTCTCAAGCAATGCGAAATAATTTCATACAATGAGTTCTAATAATATGACTTAATGGAAGAAATGTACTAAAGCATATCAGTAACCTGAGGAAACACTGCAGATTACCTCAGCAATCTGAAAAAACACTGCCTATGAATGACCAATATAACTTGGAGAATGTCCTCAAGAGTTTAAACATTATACATTTGCTCAAGATGAACACACATTGCTTTGAAGAAAAGCATCATTTAGGCAAAACTGTCTTGTTGCTCTCTCAAAAACCAGGCATTCTGTAAATCAGGAAACAATCTAAACTCTTTAAAACTTCTTAACATTCATATTTTGTTTTACAGATATCATCAGAGTGGCTTGTTCCATACATTTTTCCCCGCAGTATTCCTCCTTTTGACGTGGTCTTCAACCCAAGTAAGAACCGTCCCCTGTTTACTGTGCTGGGGTCCTCCATGATCTCAGGGTCCTCTGACTAGATGGAAGCCTCAGTGCTCATCACGGCCTGTTTGGCTAGTCTTAATCCATAACTAACTAAAGAGCGGGGTGCTTTCTCCACATGCTTTGCTCCCCATTTATTTGCAAATCTAATGGACTCACTTTGTACTTTGAAACCCCATGCAACATGAATTATATGGTATTTTGTGTATAAAAATGTATAAATTATACATTTTAGATACAGTCAGCACATTTTAATACATTTTAAAATCTGGTAACAAGTCAGGAGTGGAACATAAAATGTTCATTTCCTTTAAAAAGCAGGGGTCTACTTGTGTAGGGTGAGTTAATTATGATTATAGAATTACCTACATTTGAGAAAAATAGGCACACACAAAAGACATTTTGATTGTGGAAAATTATGTTTACCTCATGTCAAAACAAAAAGAAATCTGTATACATTTATATACCAGTGTAGTTTGAGGTACTACGTCTGACCTCGTGAGGATTGGAGGGGAACATCTGGATACAAGCCTTAACGTAATGTTAATCAAAAATATTTTAAAAGGTTAAAAGCTGGAAATAGTAAACACAGTATCCTGCTTTGATCACTACACATTGTTACGTGTATTGAATTATCACATTTGACCTCATACATATTTATAATTTTAAAATTTGCAAAAAACAATCTTGAGTACTGTCATTCTTGGTAGCTGAATACACTTTCATCATACAGTATGTTTAGGAAGAGCAGGTTGTACATATTACTATAAATATACACAACATATTTGACAACATGGGACATATTGTGAATATAAAACAAATTTAAATAGACATAAAAATATTGAAACTACTTAAAGATATACTTTTGGAAAACTGATATAAATCAAATAATTTTATCATATCATGTCATATTCTTTCATATGCCATCAAAGAAAAAAATGTATCAGGAAAATCCCTATGAATTGATACAGTACAGATATAACAAACACACATTTCAACAATATTTACTCTGGCTTAAAGCAAAACTAGACAAATTTGTAAGAAAACGGGTGAACCTTGAGACTAAGTGAAATAAATCAGACACACAAGCAGAAATATTGCCTTGTTTCTTTCACATGAGAAACTAGAAGTATACACAAGGAGCAAACTAGAGGACAGAGAATAGGAAAGAAGGGCGTAGATTTTTTTCCAAATGAGAATGAGACCAAGAAATGGTTAAGAGAGGTGAAAAGAGAGGAGAAAGGGATGAAAAAGAATTTAGATTCATTATGTTTATGTACCAACTCTCAACCAGGCATGGAACTGTTATGTGTTGCAAATACGTACTAACAAAAAATAAAAATCAAGAAGTCTTCTAAGACAAATTACATATATTTTGAACTGAGCAATGTGAAAAATGTAGCAAAACTTCTGGTATGCAGCTTTATTGAATATTTATATCAGGAAAATACAGGCATCGAAAGAATGGTCCATGTTTTATCTTAAGAAACTAGAGCTCGGCATGGTGGTGCACACCTGTAATCCCAGCACTCAGGAGGCTGAGGCAGGAGGATTGATGTGAGTTTGAGAGAATCCTGAGCTACATAGTGAGTCCCAGGTCAGTCTCAACTGCATAGTGAAACCCTCTCTCAAAAACAAACAAACAAAAACAAAACAAAAAAAGAAAGAAACTAGAGAAAAGAAGTAAACTATTCAAAAGAAAAGAAACCAAAAGAAGTAATGAAGAGCAAATATCAATGTTTAAAGCATTAAATTAAAAAATGGAAATAAATGTTTGTAAATGGGGAGGGGAGGAGGGGGTGAAGGGAGGGCAGGGACAAGGGGAAAAAATGAGAACCAAGACCTGTCATGTAAAGGTACAAGATCCCAATGATGAGTGTAACTGTACTGTGTACCTAAAATGCACCAATAAACTCAATTAGGAAAAAAAAAATATTGCTAACTTAGAGTCTTCCTCTGTTACGTTCAGGGGATCCAACCCAAGATCCCAAGTTGATGATCAAGGCTGCACATAGTACTGAATTCTAAATATACGCAAAGGCTTCCTATACATAAATACATATGATAAACTTATTTAAAAATTAAGCAAGTGAGAGATTCACAGCAACAACTATGAAATAGAATCACTGGGAGAAATTATGGAATAAATTATTTATCGGCACTCAAAAAAAGCCATTAATAATAAAGGAATGCAGGATACCAAAACCTCATCTTTAAAAAGTTCAATACAAAGAACTGAGAGTCCAAAAAGAAGAGGACTTGGTGGAAAGGTACCTATGTCAGGCATGGTATAAGAAACAACACTTCATACCCCACCGTTCCAACACGACAACATGCTGGGGACAAGAACACGACAACAAATTCAAACATGGAATGAAATGAGTAAGCACTCGAGGGACAAAACCCATTACATTTTATGCCAAGAATAAAATAATTTTAGAAAAAAGAAATAGTCTTAAAACTGTTCAGATTTATAGATTAAAATTTCATTAACACCACCCGCAACAAAGAGGACCTGAAATGCTAATGGTTTTACTGATACGTTCTGTCATGTAATTAAAGGAGAAAAATTAATTAGAAAATGGAATATCAGAATTAAACTGACCCCAAACTCAGTCTATGCAAGCAAAAAAAAAATACCCCAAAAAACAAACAAACAAAATACAGTGCTGAATAATATTGGTGATCAACTTAGACACAAAAATGTACCAGACATTTTTAGCGTGTTTAATGCAACACTATATAAAAATGGATAATATCTAATGATTAAGCTTATTTAAATAGTACAAAGCTAACTTATCAACTAAAAGTCACGCAATGAAATTAAGCATGTTAACATGAAACATAACATTAAACATATAAATAAAATATAACTTTACTACATGAAGTATAAGTATTTGGCCATAATTAACATTTATTCAGCAGTATATCTCATTGCAGTATGAATAGAAAAGAAACTTTTTACTGCACACATTACATCAATAATTCCTTTTTCCTTTTTTTTTTTTTCTGGTACCAGGGATCGAACTCGGGTCCTTGCAAGGCAGGAACTGGAACCACTGAGCTCCTTGTACACATTGCATCTACAAAACCCAGAATCTAACACCATGTTTAATGGTGATTCAGTACTTTCTTCCTAAAACTGGGAAAAATAAGTAAGAATCTCATCACTTTACCATTGTACTCAAATATTTATTCAGCCCAGCTCAGCACTTTTTTGAAAAAAGAAAAACAGTGTGGATTGCAAAGAAAACAAAAGGTGAAACTGCTTAATCACAAGGGAACTACATTCAATATAGAAAATTCTGGGGAAAACATAAAGTAAATTCATTTTAAAATGTCACTTGATACAAGATAACAAAACACTGAACTCAGTATATCTTTATACAGTAGCATTGGATAATCCAAAATATAATAAAATTATATTCACAGTATCATCAAAGGGAATAAAATTGAAATCTAACAAAATAAATATACACATTGCACGAGGAAATCTATAGGTATGGTGAAAGAAGTAAAAAGTCTAAATACACAGAACAATATTTTATTTAATGTATTGGAATACTGAGAAAACATTTCTTTCCAATTTGGATTAAATGTAGTTTAAATGTAACACTATTCAAAATCCCAGCAAAGTATATATAGATGAGAAGGTGTATATCTATACAGAAAATCAAAAGGTGATTCTGACCTCTATATACAATTCAAAGGTCTCAAATAACCAAAACAATTCTGAAAAGAACAAATTTGAAAGAAACACAGTTTTGAAAGCTGACATTATCTGAGTTCAACACATACTATAGAACTAGACTAACCAAGATACTGCTATTTTTGTAAAGATGAAAGACAGATCAATTCTATTTATTTCTATCGTGCTAGAATTATCCTTTGCTCCCAAAACTCCTAAATAATCTCTTCGCCTGAGAAGGGTATTTAGAAAATAAGAATTAATGATATTTGCTGTATGATTTCTTGCAGTTTAAGCCATAGAAATATATAGGTGGAGATAGTTTCAATTCCATCTTTCCCTTTTCCCCACTTTATATTTGATCCTTATTTCTTACATTAAGAAATATGGCTTTCTAGCCGGGCGTGGTGGAGCACTCCTGTAATCCCAGCACTCAGGAGGCGGAGGCAGGAGGATCGCTGTGAGTTCGAGACTAGCCTGGGCAACAAAGTGAGCTCCAGGTCTGTTTCAACTACATAGTGAGACCCTGTCTCAAAAAAAAGAAAAAAAAAAAAAGAAAAGAAATATGGCTTTCTCCAACATTGGTACTTTTACTCACTGGATTTATTGAACAATATGTACAAAATTTGTGGGATTTATTTTTTATAGTTATCCCATGCATACTGCTACCATATCACAAACAATGCAAAAAAATAATAAGACGATGATGCAAGCACGATGGCATAATGGGCCGGGGATTTAGCTCAGCGGTTCGGGGGCCTGCCTTGCAAGCACAAGGATCCGAGTTCAATCCCTGGTAAAAAAAAAAAAAAAAAAAAAA